CAATCACATCCGTGGTCCAGTCAGTCGAACCATCTCCTTGGATGTTGGTGATGATCTGGCGACAGTCGTCGACGCTAGGTGAAGCACCGCTCGTCTTGTCGTCAAAAGAGGAGTCCTTGCAGTCGTTTCGGCCTGGTGGTATGTCGCAGGGATAGTGTGAGCTCGAGCCCTTGTCGGCAGTGTCCCAGGATTGGAAAGCCCTGTCTGCACTGCAGACGGGTATGCGGATGAAGCCGGGCGTCGTTACGTCGATGTCAAGCAAGTTGTCCATTGTACCGTCATTGGTGGGATCTGCAACTTCTGCGCCGTTCTTGCGACCGTTCGAGGTCCAGGTCCTGACGGAGCCCTTGATGAGATCATCCTTGGTAATACCACCGAACGCGTCTTTCCCGTCCAAAGAATCGAGGCCCTTGGGTGCTGAGAACTTCTGGACTCTGCATGTAGTCTGGCAAGGGCCCTTCTCCTGGGGCTCACACTTGCACACTCTAGCATCGCCGTCAGGACTGGCAATATAGTACATCTTGCCCTCAAAACACATTCCAGTAGCCTTCATGGTATCGTCATCCATGTATTTTCCAATGTTGTCGCCATCACAACCGTTACCGGAGTCGATGATGAAGGGGTAGGCCTTGGAAACGCTCCAAAGGTTTGGGATAGCGAAGCCAAAGACGGACTTCTGGATATTGGCACGGAGATCATTCTCGGTCATAGGGCTGGGAAATCTGTCGCTACCATGGACGTCTTTGGACTCTGCGCCAAGGATAAGCTTTCCATCCGAGATGATGTCCCACAAAGTATCGATGCTTCCATCGGTTCCATCGAACAACCGCTTCAACGCGATGGTAGTGACGTTGGCCCATCCAGTGATAACATTGCCCATGTAACTGGAAAAGGAATCTTGAAGTTCGGCGGTCCATTTTGCGTCTGGGTCACCTAGAGTCAACAAGTCCTTGGCGATGGTTGTGCTTTGACCAATCAAGGTGAAAGTAGTGTCTTTCGCATTGTCGAATGCCGGGCCCTCCCCCTTGAAATAAGGCATCTTCTTGATGAGATTGTTGAAGAATGGCCCAGCAGCTGAAAGGGTTCCAAGGGTGAGAAGGTCGATAAGGAATAGCTCCCATGTGTGATCGGGCTCGGGTGGAATTGGCGCAAACTTGTTCTCCAGATCTCGCAGATTGGTAGCAACTACTGCAGCCACATCGAACAAGGCGTCATGGTAATCCTTGTACATTTGATGAATGAACACGAAGGAGTTCCAAATCAGCATGGCTGCGGGGCCTGAGTCTTCTGCCTCCAATCCTTGGCCACAGTCTGCGGTCGCATCGCAATTGCTGCTAGATGACATCGTACCACAGTCGGGTGAGGAGGCAACATTGGTAGTCTCGGAAACCGATTGAGAGAAGCTGATGCCACCCCTACCACGATCGGTATCTTTCCAGATTCTGATAATGTCCTTCCAAGCCTCATCAGTACTGAGCCCCACCCATTGTTCATGTGGTGTATAGTATGAGGCATCGTCGACCAGTACGTCAGTACAGTGGAAACTGGTCCAGTTGCCATTGCGTGTGTGGTCGGCCCTGGGGTCCTGGCCAGACTTGATGAGTTGCTTGTAGTCGCCCCAGCTCGCCGCCGGCTTCGGAACATCGTGGAATGTTTGTAAGTCGCTTGCCCAGTCGGTAGTACCTCCAAATCCCCAGGCTGAGTACAAAGTGGCGCGTGTCTTCTTCGTACTGGCGCTCATGTAGCTCACCCATTGGGTGTCATCATAGACAAGAATGTCGCTGTTGCTGCTAGTGTCGACAAAGTTCTTGACTACGCGTCCAGCCCTCTTCTGATCATTCACAATGTCTGCAATCTCGGCATCAGCAATGTACCCAGCTGTGCCGGTACATTTTCCTTTGGTTGCTTGGGAGCTTTCGCGAGTGCCCGTGTAGACGCAGCCTGGGCCCCAACAACCTGCTTCGGCCATGTTGAAGGATCGTCCATAACTCGTGATACCAACAATAACCTTGGCTCCTGGAACGCCTGCTTTGGTAATCATGGCAAGAGACTGCTTTGTCTCCGTCAAATTGACTTGACTGCGCAGGCAATTACCTGTAGCGCATCCCTCCTGAGAATAGGAATTATCTGCATCCCACTGGCCGTGAAGATCATAAGTCATGTAGACAATGTAATCGACCACTTTGCCAATGTCCTTGATGGGAAACTGCTTGAGGTACCAGTATGAGGAGGGGGCGGCAATGGAAATTGACTTCCCGGGCAGAAGGTTCTTCAAAACGACGAGGAAGGCCAGGTAGTTCGGGCCATCAGCCTTGCTAGCTGCAGGTATGCCCGGAAGATCGGGTGCACCAGGGTACTCCCAATCAATGTCAACACCATCGAGTTCGTGCTTCTTGATGAAGTTCGCAATGTTGGTGGCCATCTTGAGTCGGTTGGCGGATGTGACACCTTCCCGGAAGATGTTGTACGTAGCAGGAAAGGTGGAAAAGTCCCATCCTCCGAACGACAAGATCTTCTTCGCGCCTTTGATCTTCTTGAATGCGTTAAACTGGTATGTTGATAGCACATCGCCAGTCTCAACCTCGTATGAATTAGTCAGCGTGCCAAAGGCGAAGTGAATGTGCGTATACGCTGCAGTATCGATCTGAGAGGCATCCTGGAAGAGACAGTCGCGGCCCATCCCATAACCCTCGTAGTAGGCGATTTTGATACCGCCGCTGCCAGAGCCCTTAACGATGTCGGTTCCACAGTTGGAAATGCAGCCGTAAGTACCCGGCTTAGCAGTACCAGGAGCACCAGTGTTGGTGTCGACGCAAAAGTCTTTGGTGATGCCACACTGACCCCAGATGTTGCAGCATGCATTCAAAGGACAGGGATTCATATCTGTAACCTTTGTGCCATCGGTGGGCGGTTTAGAGTCGGGCTTCTGCGGGCCGCACTGTGCGTTGGCAATAGGGGCTGGAAATGGCGCACTACCTTTGCTCAAACACATGTTGGTGCCTACAAAGAGGAGCTTACAGCCGTTCCAACCCCATGTGTTCTTATTGAAGTCTTCAATCTTGTCCCTCGTGAGACTGAATTGGGCAGCAAGATCGTCGCAATTATCGTCAGTCTTGACCTGGTATGTGTAGCATGTGCCGTCCGACCCCTGACTGGGACTGAAATCCGGAAGGGTTCCACTCGAACAGCAAACGTGTTGCTTTGGCCTCAGATTTGCACAGAAGCTCGAGTCCGAATTGATCTTGGTGAAATCCGCAGCAGTGATGCCACACTTGGTAGCCAGCTTGGCACAGCTGTCGCCAGAATCGACTTGAACGGTCCTGCAGTCCGCACGAGCGTGAAACCTGGCATGAGATGGATACCTCTTGTGTGCTTGGTGCTGACTGGTTCGCTCGAATAGCGAGGTGGAATTGGACAAGGTGGAGTTCGTAGTGCTGTTCGTGGGTACCAGTGGCGTGGTAAAGATGGCCTGTCCGGTGATGTTGGTCGATTCGGAGAAGGATAGACATGTCGCATTGGCCCAAGTTTTGATGGCAGTTTGCACTGGAGTGAATGTGCCGTTGCTGGTGACCATGAGTCCAAAGATATGGTCGCTACCGTAGCTTGGCTCGCAAAGCTGCATAGCCAAGCTGGGCGTCGAAACATTGAGGTTGTCGAGTTTGTCTTCAAAAAGCTTCATGGCGGAAGCGCTGAGCCCCTGATTCAACAAGCCTTGGCCAATGTATAAACCAATCGTAGCTTGACCAGACTGGCCAAACATGATGAAGGGTCGATCAGTAGCGCCATGTCCGTTGTCTGCGTATTCTCGAATTTGCGCGATGAGCGATCGGAGACCGGAGGCAGCCAGGCCGAAGCCTTCGTTCCACCAGCCAATCTCGAAATCGACATCGACAGTCTGGGCGGTGTTGGTCGAATTCGGTTCCGAGCTAGCAAGCTCAGTGAAGTCGGTGCCAAACGAGGAGCAGGCATTGATACGATGGTTGCTCGAATCGTCATCGACCTCGTCGTAAAGAGAGAAGTCGTAGAACATGGTCTCCGTACACCGCTTGATCTGCTGGAAGTTGGGATAGGCAGACCAGTTGCCCGTGTTCGCGCCAGAGATGCTGCATCGTTCTGGGCAAGGATTAGAGTTGCGGTAGCTCGGGCTCGTAGCAAGTCTGAAGTCTCCTTTCGCGGACACACTGTCCACAAAGAGCAAGAATCCGATTGCCCTGACTGCTGGGCTCAACCATGCTGAGGCAACCATAGTTGTAATACAACAACTGAAGCTATCTCAGTCAAGATACTGAGCTCTAGGGCTGCAAATGAATGTGACAGGAGAAGCTACCAGAGTCAAAAGAGTGACTTTGGATACCTGGTGCCCTAACTATCGACAAGGAGAAGTCTGCTTTATACTGTTTGTAGTCACACCGTTGCTCGTCAAGGTTTGCATCGAACGACCTAGATAGACCTCTGACCATCTTGAGATTCGTCTCCCGCAAGGCGAACTTCCGGTCAGTGGACCTAACACGGTCATTGCTTACCCGCCCTCGGGGGGCCTGTTGTGGATGCTCATTTCCGAGGCATGCTACAGTAGGTTTCCAACAAGCATGAGATGAAAATCCGCGGGTGTATGCAGGGGTTCGGTCTGAGATCAGCCCTACGATGTACCAGTCCAGGTAGCCTTGCAGTCATCCTGGAGCGTTCAGCAAAGCTTTTACCCAGACTAGACCGTTCCTACGGACGGCCTGGCCCGTAGTTCAGCCGCACTTCGGTGCCGTCAGACCCGAGCTGCCCACGGTGCGGCCCAACTCCCGGCAATTCCATAGATTGATCCTGATGGGGGCCTGATGCAATGGTCCAAGCGGGAAAAGTCTTGTAATCTAAAGCTATTGCTTAGCTGTTGCTTACAGCCAGAATCTGAGGTATCGATGTGCAATATGGTCGTCCCAATTAAGATAGGAGTGGAAGTCAATCGCTCAACAACCGAGTGAATGTGTATTAAGTAACTGTGAAGATCTTCACACCATCATGTAGCCGAATGTACCAAATGCGGCCACCAATCCTGCCGTACCCCCACCAATCAGTCGCTGTGCAGTGCTCTTCTCGTCAGTTGGACAAGAGTCTCCAGGCTTTCGAGTTGCCTGGCAATGAAGCGAGGTCATGGATGCAGAAATGTTTGAAGCAGCAGCCGCATCAATCTTGATGTTGCAGGGAGTCGGGGCCGGTGTGGTGGCTGCCATAGATGCACAAGTCTTTCCATCATAATCCTCCCAGGTGATAAAATCAGGGACCGGCAGGGTGGCGTCGACGTTGATGGCAACTGCTTCATTGTCGGTGCAATCTCGGTTCGTTGTGGCGGCTACGAGATCTAATTCTGGTGCGGAACTCTTGATGGTGAAGAATGTGGAGCGACTCGTGCGGTTGGCTGCGAGACCACCTCCGAGGAATGCAAGCGAGTCCTCGGTGCAACTGTTCCAGCCCACGTCCAAGCGAAGCGCCCACACGCCCTCTTCGGTGAAGTTTGAAAGGATTTTGACCTCCTGATAAGGCTCACTGCCGGAGAAGTTCGCCCATCTTAGGTGGTAGAAGAGGTCTCTGCTAGCCTGTGTTTCCACGTTCGTGACCGTCACGTCTAGCGTAGGATTCAAGAATCGCCCTAGGTCGGGGTTCTGGATGGCGACGATGACTGGAAAAATTTGCGTCGCGGCATAGGTCTCGTTGCGAGGAAAGACGAGGTCCACTTCTAGCATGCCGGAGGCTGCGTTGACGGCTCCCGCGCAAGCGGCGAGGAGTAAGGCGACCAGCATGCTGACGCCAAGCAGGGACGGTAGAAAGGTGGCTGAGGAGTTGGGGGCGAAGGTGCGTCGATGTAGTCGTAGAACAGAAGGAGACAGTCGAGAAGTGGAAAAATATAAGTGGAAGATTTAGGTTACATTGAGGATCGATAGAGTGAATGCAAGGTACCTTGCTGAAGGGGGAAGGCGGCCTATCAAACGACCGTGCAACAACGCTAGCGGCTAAAACGCCAATACGCCCGCTTGGCATCCACGCCTTCGCCTCCACCTCCCTCGCGCGAGCCGCGTTCTTGCCGTTCCTCATGTCCACTTCCGGTCCGTTCCCGAACCGTTATGGCTGCTGCCTCAAGTGCAGGGACAATCAGGGGAAACTCTTCACCGGCCGCTATTGTGGCTGCGCTAGTGGTGTCGTCAATTGCTTCTCTTACGCCCCGTTGTCAGCTCATCCGAGGTTCCTGAATGAACTATGCAGGCCGCTTCCAACACCAGTGACCCGCCTGGTCTGCCGCCTAATTATTCGAACGCTAGAACACGAAGAGTCAAGTAAAGAAGATGGGGAACTGCGATGAAAGGTATAAGAAAGATGGCATAGAGCGTCGTTGAGTTCCCATCTTGCCATCAAGACATCAAGCTTGCTCCATTCCACACTCGTTTCTACAACTTTTCTGTAATACTGCAAACTCCCAAAGATGCAACTTACACGTCTACTTGCTGCCGGTTTCCTCACGGGATCGGCCCTAGCATGGCCCGCTCATCTTCGCCGGGGCGTTGACTGTGGATTCTCTACCACAGCTGACAGCGGTGCGACGTGCGAGAGTTTTGCATCCAGTTGGGGACTGTCTGTCGACGATCTCAAGAATCTGAACCCCGGTATCACCTGCCCCAACCTCGACACCAGCAATGAGTGTAAGTTCCTCCCTACGAACTGCATGTGATGTATACGCTGACTTCCTACACCGACAATTAGACTGTGTGATTGGCACTGTTACCGACGACCCGATCATAACTTCGACTCCTGTAACCACCACCACATCAGCAACCACTAAGCCGGCCACCACCACCACTTCTGCTACGAGGCCCACCACTTCCTCTACGACTACCAAGGCCAGTACCACCACCACGGCCGGCAATGGTGTTGCCACTCCCATGCCCACGCAGCCTGGAATGGTTTCCAACTGTAACAAGTTCTACTACGTCGAGAAGGGCACCAGCTGCGGCCAAGTGCTCGACAGCCAGAAGATCAGCCTCAGCGACTTTGCCAAGTGGAACCCCAGTGTGAATAACGACTGTTCTGGTCTGTGGGCCGAAGTGAACGTCTGTGTTGGCGTCATTGGTGGAGGAACCCCCGTCACGACTGCCAAACCGTCGACCACTACATCCGCAGGAGACGGCATTCAGACACCTCAGCCAACCCAACCCGGAATGGTCTCTAACTGCAACAAGTTCTACTACGTGCCTAAGGGTTCTAGCTGCAGCCAAGTTCTCAGCAGCCAGAAGATCGCCCTCACTGACCTTGCCAAGTGGAACCCTAGTGTGAATAACGACTGTTCTGGCTTGTGGGCTGAGGTCAATGTCTGCGTTGGTGTTATCGGAGGTACCCCGGCCACAACTACTACCAAGAAGCCAACCACCACCACCTCTGCTGGAAACGGCATCCAGACCCCTCAACCCACCCAGCCTGGCATGGTCTCCAACTGCAGGAAGTTCCACTACGTCTCCAAGGGCGACACTTGCCAGCAGATCATCAGCTATGAGAAGATCACTTTGGCGAATTTTGTCAAGTGGAACACTGGCGTTGGATCCAACTGTCAAAGCATGTGGGCAGAGACCAACGTTTGCGTTGGCGTGTAGAGAGGTCGCGACGTTTCTGTTCCTGTACTTGATTGGCGGGTGAAGTAGATGAGGCACGGCAATACCTGTCGAGAGTTATTCGTAATACCGTTATGCTCATGCAGTCACTAAGATTTCTATAATCACATCACCGGACAAGTCCCTCTAATTGAACACGACACTTGGACGATAAGTTTGACGCGGAAGCGTGTCAACGTAACTTCAGGCCTACACCCACTGTAATCGCTTCTCGCGCACTCTTGGTATAAGAGAATAGCTCACACCCAACTCCATAGTTCACGTCACCATGTCGATTCATTCAATTGGTCCGAGACAAGTAACATACCAATCTTGCATTGTTGTTTTAAGTGACAAAGAGCTTCGCCATTTATAAAAAAAACCCGACCCGATTGAACAGGTGTTACGATCTGCAAAAAGAAATTGTGTACCAACGCCAGGAGTCGAACCCGGTAACCAGCCCCTGGCATGTGGCAGCTGCATCTACCGCCGGACCCTTTGCAGGCCTCTTAGAGCTAGTGTAGAGTCCGATGAGAACCCTCACATGGACCGTGTTGTACCGTTGGTGAAAGAATGGCGAACACCGAGCATTATATACCCTAGGTCAGATGAGTAAGGTGGTCGCTGGCATTTTGTACCCTTCGACCTGTAATTTGGATGCATCCGCATGAAGAAGTCACTGACTGTGTGGCGAACTCGCTTGTGAAGAAAGGAAGTCGCTCTCTAGAGGAGGCCGTGCTCATGGGGAAGCCACGTTCAACGGACCCAAACAACCCAGCTTTAGAGAAGTGACCCAAGACGAAGACACCACACCCATGCGCAGCAACAGTATAGATGCCGAACCCGAGCCAGGTATCAGACGGACTGTACAATGAGCTTGCTGCGCAGTGCAACTCAAGGGACTTCAACAACGAGATTGTCTGCCCAGTCGTCCACCTGATCTTCTTTATTCCTCACTCTACTTCCCTTGTCCCTTTGCTTCCTCGTCTTACTATCGCTTGTACCTTCTCTTACAACCTCCTCTAGTATTTCTCTCCCTTCGTCATCCTCGCTAATCAGCTTCGCAGCGAGACTGAAAAGCACAAGTAGCGTCCACGCAGCATCGTTCCCGCAATCGTGCAACCTTGAGGGTATCATACCGACCAGGCGACATAGCGTTCGGAGCGATACATTCCATCCAGGATCGTCAGCCTTGTACATCTCGCGAGCAAGCTTCTGCGTGTCGATGATCGCTGTCACGGTGGCTATGTCATTTATGTTGATACGCGCCTTGTTCAACGAGAGAAGATCCGAAGGGATGTCGTGGCCAACAAGGATAATCGGCAGTCGCTGTTCGTTTGAGTCATTGACTTTCGATAAGTCGTACAAAGGTAGCTTGCGCGCATTACAGCACGGCTCCCTATCTCCATTGACGTAGTGAGAAAAGATGTGGTTGAGGACGGCAGCGCGCTCGCTCCATCGCACATCGTGCACTTGGCCATGGAACAAGGCCTGCACTTGCTTTCTATTTACGCCTACTCGACCGTACCGGAAGTCGAAAGTCTCTGTGTGGAGGGGCGGGTGAGTATGGTGCATCGGCGTTGAGAAGTGTGAAGTTGTGAGACTCCTCGTGTCGAGTGTGGATGCGCCGATAGCGCTGAAGCGCTTGGGGTTTCCGTGTGCGATATCGAAGGAAATGAATACGGGGTGTGCGTGAGAATTGGGGTTGTCGTGGTTGCTTGCCAAAAGCTGCTGGAACAGGCAGCGCACTTCTTCAAGTGAGATTGGGGGAGGAAACATGACTTTGAGAGTACTGATACTTGCTGTTACGGTCAATTCGGATGAGCTGGGATTGACTGTTGGGCAAACAATTGAGATGGACATCAATTACAATATATACTCTCCTTTGACTCACCACCTTTGTTTCAAAGACTCATCGCCGTACCGTGGATGTACATAGAGACGAACCAGCTTAGAATTTGTTAGCAAATTATAGTCATCGCCTACCTAACCACCCAAAGTACTATTAAAGTTATTGCAATCGGATCATTACGAGACGAGCGCGCAAACAAGAAGATGACTCACCACTTGGCCGCAGCCATACTTTGGTTCCCTTACCCTGGCTCTGTGGTAACCATGGGCGGGCGACAAACCAATCACGGCTTGCGCACTTCGCATTTGGAAAGTGACTCTCATTTGAGTCATGTGTAGAAAGTGCAAATGTACAAAGACAGACAACCTCGATAATTCCGTGTCTTACTACGACACAACACCTTTCGATTGAGATTATCTCTGATATCATATCCATCATAAGGGTCATAAGCCCATACCGAATAAAAACGCCATCTATCCATATGTGCTCATAAAAGCTACTTTTCTCCACCCGGTACACACTCACGGCACTCGAGCAAGATTTACTGAGCAGTCGGCGCAGCATTGTTGGAGACCTTTCCGTTCGTGATCTTAGGACCAACAACGGCCTCCTCAAGCGCACGCTTAACATCGGCAACAAGATCCGCCTCATCCTCAACACCACAGCTGATGCGGACGAGATCGTCAAAGACGCCGGCTGCCTCGCGCTGCTCCTTGGGAATACCCCCGTGTGTCATGGCGCTGGGTACCTCGACGAGCGACTCGACTCCACCCAGCGATTCAGCCAATGTGAAGATCTTGGTCGCTTGGCAGAAACGCTCTGCAGCTGCGTGACCGCCCTGGATACGGAAGGAAAGCATGCCGCCACCCATTCCGTCACGGTGCTGCTTCAGCGCAATGTGGTGTTGGGGGTGCGAAGGTAGACCGGGGTAGTTGACGGAAACGACGTGTGACGAGGCCTCGAGAGCCTTTGCGACACCCGTAGCATTCTTGGTTGCTTCCCTCGCGCGGAGATGCAGAGTCTTGAGACCGCGGTGTGCGAGCCAGCAGTCGAAGGCCGAGGGAACGGCACCAATGGCGTTCTGGAGGAAAGACAGACGCTCGTATAGCTCATCGGAGTTGAAGGCCGCGGCGCCCATGACGACGTCAGAGTGGCCGTTGATGTACTTTGTGACGGAGTGCACCACGATATCCGCGCCGTGGTCCAGCGGGTTCTGAACGTACGGGCTCATGAAGGTGTTGTCGACAACCACCATGATGCCATGCTGATGCGCAATCGTGGAGATCTTGCGGATGTCCACAAGCGTCAGCGTGGGGTTCGACGGCGACTCGATCCAGATGAGCTTCGTGTTGGGGCGGATGAGCTCGGCGATGTCGATCTCGATGCTCGGGCTGAAGGTGACTTTGACATCGTGCGTCAGGGCGACCTTGGTGAAGTAGCGGTGCGTTCCGCCGTAGACGTCTGAGACGGACACGACGTGTGAGCCTGCGGCGAGCGATTGCAGGATGTTGGCTGTGGTGGCGGAACCGGACGAGAACGCGAGCGCATAGCGGGCGTGTTCGAGGGCTGCGACTGCCTTTTCAAAGTTGTCTCTGCAGGCGCATTAGTTTTGAATATCTGAGTGGTGTCGCGCATGCGTACCGGTTTGGGTTCGAGGAGCGCGAGTACTCATACTCGCCTATGGGCTTTCCAACGGCGGTTTGCGCGAATGTTGTCGACAGAGAAATCTGATTGGGTTAGCCATGGGTCTGTGAGACTTTGCGCGTGCAATGCTTACGGCTTCGATGACGGCTCCGGTGACGGGGTCATGAGGGCTTCCGGCATGCACGGCGAGCGTGCCGAATCCGTGGACTGGTGACGGCGCGCGTGGCGGGGTGTCGATAGGGTGGTCGGGGAGCGTCATCTTGATCTTCTGAATACTCTTTGAACGGCGGGCGGAGTTGAAGTGGTGGTACGAAGGAACTTGAACCTCGAAATGCAGCGAGAGGACAAACTTCTTTCTAAATTTCAGGCCCTCCGAGGTGTTGACGCCTATAGGTAAATTATTGTTCTAGCGACAAATCCTAGCGCGCTTTCTATCGGTGGTGCATGTGCGGTTGACCGTGATGGCGCGAATGCAGAATAATTCTTTCTTGCAGAATTTCCTGTCAAAGTGGAGATGGAAAGCAAGGGAGAACCATCTCCATGGCTCCTGCCATCTTATACCCAACAGGCCGCGTTGGACGTCTGACATTTCTCAGCAGCAGATTAATCAGGCGGCGATTGCTCAAACCGTGGCATACACAGCTCGGCCCAAAGCGCGCGTTGGTTTCGTGAGCAAGCGGAGATGGTGTCATAGTATTCTCCGACCCGCCTTGTGACGGCCTTGGCAGCTTTTCGATTACACATCGCGCTGCGAGTGCTACCAAGTCCAGCAGGCTGTTCGGGCGAGATGCTTTATAGAGTTTTTGGATACGTAAGCACAATTTAACATTGGCGCTCAATGGCAAGTGATTTGCATCGTAATCTGATTGAAGTGGAGAGAGGTCTATGAAGGGCGCAAACGTCTATGGGTATCTTGGGGGTATAATGGTGATGCTTAGTATGCATCCTCCTCTGGCCGGCTCTTAAGCTTCACATATCCACTTATGCCTTTCTTCCGCGCTGTCTGCTCGCTCTGGGAGACATGTCCCGTCTGTGATGGTGAAGACTTTCCGTTCCTCGTAGTCGACGTGAGGTAGCTACGCCCATCGTCGAGACCGGTGTTACCTCGCCGTTTCTCACCAACGAGTATGGGGTCTTCCGCAATCAAATTCTCCATGTCTTCCCATTCTTTCTGGTTCAACACGTCCCATTCTTGCGCCTGCTGCTCAGCCAACAGATATCCCCTCAGCTCGTCGATAATCTTAGTTGGCGACAAGCCCCATCCGCTGATGTACTGTGCGTTCTCGGCCATGCCTAGGAAGGAATGTGAAGTAGCGTGTGAAAGCTGCCCAAAGCCTACAGGTGATTTGCGGAGGATCGATCTGGAAGACCTGGAAGTGGTGATATCTTTTTCCAATGGATTCTCGAGGCGTTGGGGGTTGTATGTGTCTTGCGTGATCAGTAGTCGGAACAGATTGCGACCGATCGAACAAGTATCCTCCCACTGTTTGAAGCTGTCTTTCATGCCCTGGGTTCGACATAGCCAAGCCACATTGTACGCAAGCAGAGACACGCCTTCAATAAAGGACGAGTATGCAGGAGGATCTTCGGCGCAGAGGTGACTCAGGGGGCGGTCGACGAATAACGCGCGCGGCTTCGGAAGATGGATACGCGTCTCAAGCGTTCGGGACGCCTCCGGACTGGCGCTGGACGAATGTGAGGGTGTCGAGCCAGGGAAAGGTACTTTCTTGCCCTGGTAAGAGGATGCCGGACTGAAGATTGTAGGTTGAGGATAATCGGCATGGGGGAGTGTGATTTCGGCTGGGAGACGGATGCCCAGGTAAGCAGCGACTCGAACGACGAGCTGGGCCACGGCAGCCAGTGAGGCAGATAGGCCGTCAGGCGTCACATCTGATTCAAAGTTAGCATATCGCCTCGACAGGTGCGGTTTAAGACATACCATTCAGATCTCGAAGATCGTATATTCGCAAACGCGTGCCGGGCCCGATATTGTAGACCTCTTTGATACCGCCGTCCCTTGTCTTTCGCCGCTGCATCTTGAGTCCCGCGAGCCTCGCAGCGGTCGTGCATAGCTGCATGCGCAGATCTATGTTATCGTGGTGCATCTTGTCCGCGTTGTAGTCCGACCGCTTGACCCTCTGCTGCACCTTGTCCAACTCGTTCGCCCGCCGCGATTCGATGCCGTATGTGGCGGATGAGAGGTCTGACTTGCGTTGCGCGTTCGCCGCTCGCTTCGCTTCAAGCTGCTTCCTGGTATCCTCCATCTGTTGTCGGAGCTGTTCGGCATGCTCTGATATCATGCCTAGTCGGTCCTGTATCTCTGCCGTTTCTGCTTTCGTCCGCTCCCAGTTCAGATTGTTCGTACACTCTTGCCTGTCGACCAAGAGCCCGCCTTTCGAGTCGGTGAGAGAAACATGCTGGATGGCCTTGTCTTCCGAGCCGTTAATGATAGCTGTGACGTGTTTCGCAACGGCATCGCGGTCTATCAGCGTCTTTGCGAGTTGGATGCGGGGCTGTTCGAGGTATGAGCGCGCGCAGGTCATGCAGTGGAGAGGCTGGCTCAGGCTGCCGTCTCTCCCGCAGATGTCGCACTCCATTTTGAGTAGAGATTATGTTATGTGATGTCGCCTGCAGAAATGCCGTGGAGTGGTAGGTCTGGAAGGTGCAGCGAGACCATGGTGGGAGTGATTCGTCGAGGCGGTTGGCGAGTGCCTACGTAGCCATGGAATCCGTCAGTGGGGTTTCCGGTGAATGTCTAGGCTCCGTGAATGTTAGCGCTCTCCTCTGTCGTGAAGCATAAGCAAGGCATCCAGAGGCTGGTGGTCGAAGAGGTTGTGTGATGGAGGCGGTACTCAGGCAGAGGCGCGATTTCGCGAGTCAGACGCTCCTTCCAACGTCATGCCGCGACTGACCAATTCGGATCGCGCTAACGCACGTGGTATACGTGAGTGAACCTCAATCTACCTTTTCGAGTACTGCGTTCCATTTGATAGAACTGATATTTCGCGTCGAATATCTTTCTGATGACGATGAGACGCGCTCGCGATCACTCTACTTACCTACAGCACTGACCAAAGGCATCGCAAATGAGCAGGACTCCCGACCACGAACCCGAATCATCCCTCCCCTCTCACATCTCGTCGACATACCCATCTTCTCCTCCACTACTGACACAGTTAACAAATACCACCGCAATGGATACTGCCCCGACTGCCAAATCGGAGCCGCCACCCAGTCAAGAGGCTCAGACTGTACGACCGCCAATGAGACGCATGCACTCAGATGAGACAGAGCGGCCATCTTCAGCACAGCGCACGAAAGACGAGGTCGACGACGAAGCAAGTGCTGCCGCTGAACAACAGTCGGAAGATGAAGAGAGTGACCCCGCAGAAAAAATTGTCGATTTTGATTGGGAAGACCTAGAGGCGCGGTACCACGATGCGATGAAGACATGCCACAACCAAGAGGACCTGCTAATGCAAGAGTGGGACAATCTCATGAATGTACAGCTGTCTCTTCGCTACTTCTGCCCGAGTTACTGATGAAGTTGTTAGTACTTCCGCATCTGGGCTTCGTCAGGGAATGAGCATGAGACGGAGCGGACCTACGCAAGGTAAACATGCCTTCTACAAGTCGCGTAACCTACTAACGACGTGCCCTAGACTTCGCACACGCTCGACATATGTTCAGCACGAGGAAGCGGAATTGGAGCAAAAGCGGAATCATTGTATGATAGCCTTTACTTCATTTCATGCTTTTTGACTAATACGCCGCAGACATCAATGTAGTCAAAGCCTTCGAGAGTGCGCTCAACCTCCTCAAAGCCAGTGGCCTTGGTCGTTGATGCTCATCAACCTAGGCGCTATCTACCTTGCTCATCATCCGCCGCAATCGGAAGTCTCACAGCGTCTCGCTGGCCCTGATAGCTCGTCGCCAACCCCGCGGCAATTGGTGCGGTCGTCCAGCCTTTCGATGTGCACATCATCTAGGATGCACCTGATGCGCTGTTCCGTCATGTAGGATGCCATCAGTACCGAAGTGAGCATGTTGAGAAGGATCAGTCGCAATGAACGGAACCCGGTGGATATACATCAGTTGAAGACATTCATTGCCAGGTGTCTGCTCTATCTAAAACCCTAAATCAACCGCTCAAGATTCTATATCAAATGCACCGCCTTTTGCCGAAGGTCTATACATGGTGCCCGTGCCTTCCATATATGCGCTAAACAATGAGACGCCCATGCCCTTTCATGCGAGTTATTCCAGAAATGGTCCAAATATGGTCCAAGTTTGTGATGGTGATGTTGTGGTGCGTGTTTCGTCTATAGAAGAGGGTTGGAGCGGTACTCGGGGACGACGCCGTTGGTTTGCGACTTCTCAGCCTGGTTCTCCGTCTCGAGCTCGTTGCCTACGCTGTCGTCTTGCTCCGCAAGCCACTTCTCTGCCTCGAGGGCGGCGACGCAGCCGGATCCTGCACTGGTGATGGCCTGGCGGTACCGCTTGTCTTGGACGTCACCAGCAGCGAAGACACCCTCGACGCTTGTGAGACCCTCTCCGGGCTTGGTGATCAGGTAGCCGTCCTCGTCCATGTCGAGCTGTCCCTTAAACAGCTCAGTGGCGGGATCGTGGCCGACAGCATAGAAGAGACCCTTTGCGTCGAGGGTCTGCTCCTCCTTTGTGACGTTGTTCTTGACCACTAGTTGTGTCATCAGACCGTTCTTCTTGTCTTCGCCCTTGATCTCGCTTGCGCTGGTGTTGTACATGATCTCGACCTTGGGGTGCGTTGTCAACCGGCGGGCGTTCGTTCGGCTCGCGCGGAGCTGGTCTCTTCGTACGAGTACGGTAACCTTTGACGCCTTCTTTGTGAGGTATAGAGCCTCCTCTACGGCCGAGTCACCACCTCCGATGACAACCAATGGCTGGTCGCGGAACATGGGAAGGGAACCGTCGCATACAGCGCATGCGGAGACACCGTTGCCCCAGTACTTGTCTTCGCCCTTGAGATCTAATCTCCTGGCCTTTGCGCCGGTCGCGATGATCAAAGCATCGGCAGTGTGTATCTCCTCCTCAATCTCCTCCTCGTCGCCCATGGGGTGTAACCAGTACTTGAAGGGGCGCGCTTTCAAGTCGACCTTTGCGACGGTCTGGGAGATGATTTCGGTGCCGCAGGCTTCGGATTGTTCGCGCATTTGCTCCTGTATGCTGTTAGTACCAGTTGGCGCATAACTATCGCGTGCTGTTACTGACCATGAGCTTGCCGCCTCCGATCTTGACGAAACCGGGGAAGTTCTCGACTTCGTCTGTTGTGGTCAATTGACCACCTGCGGCAATACCGAGAGCCATGAATCCCTCGTACATGACGGCTGCACAAGATTAGCATGTCGTCGGAGTGATTTCGTGGCGGTGTCTTACGGTTCAGATCCGCTCGCGCGGCATAGATAGCTGCGGTGTGGCCTGCTGGCCCCGAGCTGTGTATGTTAGCATTATTCTCGAGATCGACTCCATCGCGCCATTGATCGCAGAACATACCCAATAACTGCATGCTGTTAGTACTATCCAAGCCGCAGATTGATATGATGCTACTTACTGACTAGTTTTGAATGCATGTTTCGCGACTGTACTTTTGCAAAGGTTGAAGCAGTCGAAAGCCCCGCTACAGGTGAGACGCGCTGATTATGCGATGCCGCGGCAGCGATGGGGACGGAGAATAAGGATAGGTTGCGGGGGGAGGAGGCCCTTCGGAAGATTGATGCGAACACTTTGGCGGCGTGTGCGAAAGTTTCGCGTGTCGCGTGCAAGATGTGGTTGCGGGCGTGTGGGTCGTGTGTGGATGGTGGGATGCGATGTGGAGGTTTAGCAACGGAGTGCGAGCGGTGCAGATGGTGCCTTGTGTGGGAGGGACCAAGTGACGGAGAAGGAGCTGGAAAAACGCTTTTGACGTTGCCGCAGCGGGTTTGCGATTAGTGGGCGTCGTCTTCTAGCTTCGGAGGTTCCGCGATATTTGGGGGATGACGGCGAGCCGAGGCGTGGTGGGGTTTTCGAGATGCAGATCGTGCTCAACTATGCGTCGCAGTCAATATATATGCAATGCGGTATCAAAATGAGAGCAGCACGTCTGTAGGTAGTAGGGAAGAGAGCAAGCACACCTTATTTGCAAATGCAACACATGTCAGACGTTGGGAGATTTCTGCTTGGAAAGAAAAAAGTCGGCTGCTTGCTGTCGATCTACGCCATCGCCGGCCGGGCTGTCATTCTTAGAAATCGACCTGTACTAGACCCACGTTCCACGCAGCCCACCCATCTTGCCCATCTCGCGTTTAATGTCCGGTGCTGACATGCTTGACTCGAGGCGACTTCTGTATCACGAGCCTCGGCAAAGTTCATCAGGAGCCACGTCCGAAATGTCGCGACTTCGTCCGGTGCTCAGGCGTAGTCTGGGGGCGACTGTTAGGATGATTACAGTTCATGCACGTTCTGGAGTCGCACGCGTCGCGCTTCACTTTCTGTCTTTGTATATCGGCCCCGCGCTTGGGAGTGAGCACTACGAGTCCATTGTGGGCGTCTAACGCTGCTATCTAATCCTCCGCGCCTGGACGCTTCCTGAGGTTCTCCACATTGTAGAGCATATCCCGGACTGCTTTGTCATCTGCAAGTCGGTCGTCACCACCTTGTTCGAAACTCTTCAATGTCTCTGCGAGCTCTGCATCTGCGTGCCATGTACCGTCTTGTTGTCTTGCGAAGTATTGCAGTCTTGGTGCCTGTTCGACATGTTAGCTATCATCCATGAGATGCTTCTGAGGAAGCTTACCGTGTCTTCCCGAACTTCGGTGGTTGAGCCTGGCTTCTGGATGTTGTCTATCGACACAGCCAACTTCAAAGGACCAGTAGACGTGCGGATGATGGCAAGGTCCAGCGCGTTGCCGTCCAGTGGAATGGCATAGCCTGGTACAGATGCACCTAATCTGAAGCTGAACAGCGCTGGTACTCCCTCGCATGCCACAACAACTGTCTCGGCCTATCAACAGTCAGATGATGGAGAAACAAAGTCAAAGTCTTCATGATACTTACACCGTCCTTGCTTGGTAAATTCCATATTCCAGAAACCGCGACCTTGTACGTTGCCACATTTACTCCTGCTGGGATCATGCCACGCTCCTGGAGATGAGTGAAGGCAAGATCACGGATGGCCAGCTTTTCCTTCAAGAGGTAGTTCTGCCAATCCCATACAAATAAGTGATCGTCGCCACCGCCAGACACAAGTAGGCCAGATTGTGTGAGGCAAAGCCTGCTCACAAACGCTTCGTGGCCGAAGCAGAATCCCTCTATGATATGCGCTTGCGGTGGGCCTCGTGATATTCTGATGTGCTCGTCCCGGTCTGCTGTCATGATATAGCCCCGTCTGTCTGCCTGAGCATAGACGACATCTGTGAGCATAGAAACGTGGCCTAGGAGCAGCTCGTGCTTGAATCGCATAGTCTCCTTGGGCTTCGCTGGGCCTTTTGCTTTCCGTTTCAGCTGCTCTTCGAGAGTCTTTCGGTTCCTCCCAGAGTGAACGGTGAGAGTAGTAGCGGAGGGGATCCATTCTTTCTCATCGGCCTCTTCAGTTGCTAGTGCCTCGGGCAACTCTTCTTCCTTGTCGTCGTCAGGCGAAGGGAGAAGCGGTAATGCGTAGACATCGCCAAACTTGTCTGCACACAATATGGTTGCATCGTCAGACGTGAGAGTGATCGAGCAAGGCCGTCTTGACATGCACCTTGATCATGTCAATTTTCGAACCTTTCAATAACGTGCGCCTCTTACCTTTCGCTCAACTGGTGCAGCCGGTTCTGAGCATCGATCTGGAAGACCCGAACGCATTTATCTTCGCCGGTGATGCCGACCAAGTACTGTCCATCATTTGAAAAGATGAGACTGGCAAAGTTCGATTTTTGCTCTTTCGGTTGTTCCAATTTGATGCGTTTTCCTGGTCGCTCTTCGGAGTCGCCCTCCTGTTGATCCTGTTCATATTAGCGATGCGCACTTACTTCGACCACCAATTCGAACACCGCGACATCGACAAATCACAAGAAATACGCCATCACTCACTTCAGTTTGGGCGTCTTGCTGTGGCCATGTCGTCACTGACCCGCGACTGGATTGAACTACAATCTTGGAGCCGCTCGCAGCAAACACAGTCCAGTCATCTGAAGACTCAGAACTTCGCGCTACAATGCACTGATACGGAACTGTCATGATGTCTGCGTTGGACACCGGCTCGTGGAGTTGATGGTACTTTTCTGTGAGGCCCCAAATGCGCTAGCCCGTTAGGCGAGCAGGGGCCACCCACAGCAGACAACCTCGATTTTCGCCGGCCGAACTTTCCCTCTCTTCCTCAAACCATCAACACCACCAAACTAAGACCTTAAACATCCCTTTGGGTCGCAGAACACAATGGGGGGCAAGAAAGAAACCAAGGCCGCTTACTTCGAGAAGCTCGAGCAGCTCCTCAAGGAGTACAAGAGCATCTTCATCGTCACCGTCGACAATGTCTCGTCCCAGCAGATGCACGAGATCCGCCAGTCGCTCCGCGGCGAGGGTGTCGTTCTCATGGGAAAGAACACCATGGTCCGCCGTGCTCTGAAGGGTCTCATCAACGACTCTCCCGAGTACGAGCGTCTCCTTCCCCACGTCAAGGGTACGTCTTCCAACTCACGCGACGCTCGCGCACAGCATTGACACTAGTACAGGCAACGTCGGTTTCGTCTTCACCAACGCCGACCTCAAGGAGACCCGTGACAAGATCCTCGCCAACCGTGTCGCTGCTCCCGCTCGTGCCGGTGCCGTCGCCCCCGGCGATGTCTACATTCCCGCCGGAAACACGTAAGAACACGTCTTGCGCGCACACATCGTACAAGTGATTGACATATCGCAGTGGTATGGAACCCGGAAAGACTTCTTTCTTCCAGGCTCTCGGTGTCCCCACCAAGATTGCCCGTGGTACCATCGAAATTACCTCCGACTTGAAGCTCATCGAGGCTGGTAACAAGGTCGGTGCCTCCGAGGCTACCCTGCTCAACTTGTTGAACATCTCGCCCTTCACCTACGGTATGGGTATCTACCAGATCTACGACAACGGCCAGACCTTCGAGGCTTCCGTCCTGGACATTGAGGAGTCCCAGCTGCTCAAGGCTTTCTCCTCTGCCATCAGCACCATTGCCGCCATCTCTCTGGCCTCTGGCTTCCCCACCCTGCCCTCCGTCATGCACTCCGTTGTCAACTCCTACAAGAAGGTCATCTCTGTCGCCATTGAGACCGACTACGAGTGGGAGGAGATCGCCGAGCTCAAGGACCGCATCGCCAACCCCGACAAGTACGCCTCCGCTGGCCCTGCCGTCGGTGCCACCTCCGGTGGTGGTGACGCCCCTGCCGCTAAGGAGGAGGCCAAGGAAGAGGAGAAGGAGGAGTCTGAGGATGACGACATGGGCTTCGGTCTCTTCGACTAAGCTACTCACGTTTGCGATGACATTTCTTGAGAGATATCGGTATGACTACGGTCTGTCGAACCATGTCTTCATGATATAGACAGTCAACGACAATACGATCAGATGAACTCGTTCAGACATTATGCCGTGATGCTCACAAAGCATCTGCGTCAGTACAATCTCAGGTAAGCCTATCCCCTTCTCATCTCGCGCTGCTATGATTATTTTCTTTTTAACCCTGAGATTCCTCGGTGAGGATCAAAATACAACAACAACACTCTAATTTTTTAATGAGCAACCTGTCTTTCAAGTCACTCGTTCGTTACCATGGCAAGGCTCGAGACTGACTTTCCAACAGGTATACCACTAGCTTGTGCACCTCAATATGCTGTGAAGAGGTGATGCGCACCATCTGACCGCAGCTCAGACAGCCTTTGCAGGATGCCCCGCCCTTTCTAGGTCTATCCGCACCCAAAAGCACCTCCAGAGCGGCTTGCCTCCTAAGCTTCGACAAACGCTTTCACTTTGCGCATTGCCCAAGTATACGTCCGCGTGTGACCATGCATTCCCGTCGTCGTCTACTGCTAACCCTGGGGCATACTGTCGAAACAGCTTCGCTGCAACGGCCTTTGCTATCCCCTTTCCTCGATATGCTTCTTCTGTATGTAGCGTAACAAGAGAGCCGTCTAAACCGAGGAATGTCCACGCTACTGCTGTATTTGTCTCTTCTTCAAAAACCCCCACACTCTTTAGTGACATGAGTGTCTTCGTCGTCCTTGGAATAGACGTCCTGGCTTTGACGACATCGATATCCTGCTCGCGCATCTCACCCCACCGTAATCCCTTGGGCAGCTCTCGCGTCTCTGGAAGATCAGAAAGCTTGAACAAGAACTTATTCAGCTCTGCATCAGGGCCTGGAAGCTCGGTGCGCAAGACTCCTGCTTCGCGGAGGATCTCGACCACATCGCGGTGGCATGCACCCAAAGTGACTACTTGGGGCATGAGAAGATGTCGCATATACGTCCCCGGTGATGATTCGTATGCGCCGCACGCTGGTGGGGTTGGATATTCTTTCTCGTGTTGTTTTGCTAGCTCTAAAGCAGGTAGATTATCGGAACGCATTGGTGGAGTAACAAGTGTAGCCATATATTCGAGTAATGCCAATACCGCCTTCTTGCTCTCTTGACGAAACTCCGGGGTTGCATTCGAGTGATGCGGCTGTTCTGCGCTACTAAAGATCCACAGTTCGGTCTCTGGGCGCATTGAGCGATCGAGGTAGGCTGCTGCCCAGCATTCTGGTATTTCAGTGGCCGACGGAGGGAATGTGGCGAGTATGTGAGCGTGCTCTGTTCGGTTTGGGTGTTGGATTCTGTAGACCAGGTTGACACTGTAGGGTAGGGCGGTTTTCAGGGCCCGCCGTAGGATGGGGGATGAGGCGGGGTGCTCGTGGACTTGCATCTTCGGCTTTTTCAGCAGGAAGGGATGAGATGGTACTGTCGCAAGCGAGGATCACAGCTGAGATGGTAAGAGAGTCAAATATCTTTTGGGTGGGCTTTATTATGACGAAGTCGTCGTGTTATGTACCTTCCCTGTTGGGAATGATGGATGACTAAGATCTGGCTCTTCAACGCGAAGCTTCTCAAGCTTCACCAAGCTTCTTCCGTTCATATCCTACACCAGACCCATGTCAACATGCCAGCTGTGAGCATGATGTCTGCAATCCGTCACTCCAATCCGACCAAAATAGGTCGCAACGCTCAAAGCTTAAAGGGAAAATAGGTGTAAAAATCAAAAAGATAGTACTCGCGAATGTGACAAACCTTCCTGATATAAATCCTCAATATGACCTCGGAGCCGACTAGCGCCTCCAGGTCCTGCTTCGTCTTCTTCGCCAATTTGCGTACCTTGTCAAGCCCACCTGCGTTGTACCGGTCATACCCGCAAATCAGCTCCAGATAATCGAGACCTGGGAAGAACTCCAGTCCGTTGGCCAGACCTTTCTTTAATCCACAGTTAAAGCCCCAATCCTCTTCAACATGAAGACGCACTTTCCGCACGACAGCGAGCCGGGATGCCAGCGAGCGGAGCCAGGTCTGTCGCCCGAGTCGTTCGTCGTACCTGAATGTGTTGAGGCTGAAGGGGAGATAGCGGGTTTCTTCGTAGATCTGGCGGCTTACGAAAAGTAAGGAGAATGTATGTGTTTGTTTACCCGGATGGCGCGTGCGGTCGTTTTCGATACCGGGGCCGTATACATCGTTGTCGGGATGAACGGGGCGGATGTGCGTGACGCAGGGTCGGGGGGTCTGGTGGTATTTTGAAGGTGTACGGTCTTTGAGGTGGATTGATCGGTGGCCGAATAGGATGTCGTATACGCGATTTCTGAGTTCGGCGGGGAGATGGAGGAAGGGGGAGGTTTGTTGGTTTTGTGTTGTTCTACGATGTATTAGTGGATACTGTCGGTGTAATTTGTGTCTGTTTCTCTATTCGAGTCGAGGATTATTCTCGAGGCTTCACCTACATCTCCAGCGTCTCGTCGCGGGGTGTGGTGTCCAGCAATCCATCGTCTAGTAGGCGTACCGAGTTGTCGGTATCTTTTTCAGGGTTGCGGTATGTGTTTCCAATGTCGGATTCATCGAAAAGCTTTCTAATGTGCTTCAGGGCATTCATGGTCGAGATTGAAGATCACCGGGGAATACGATCTGGTTGAGTAGTTCAGTCGGGACTGGTGTAGTCGTTCAAGGGTATTAGAACCACTGCAAGAGACAGTGGCTGAAGATCTTTACCGTGGAAGCAGTGGCAGTAATTTTCCGCACCACGCAATCACATTCTCATATAACGGCGCAGATATATGCTGCCTATGAGTTCCTGACAGCTGCACGGCCACTCACAGCCACAATGTGGGTTACGTTCATTGATTCAGGTCAAGGGTTCCATTAGACATGCAGGGTCAGGCAGTGGCTTTGAAGAAGAGAGAAAAACGGTGCACATCGCCGAAAGGAACCGCAGTAAGTTATTTATTCAGCATTGCGTACCAATGGTGCATGTCACACCGCGTTCGATTCGTAATTTGATCCCGAATTCTTCGTCTAGTATTCGCGATTTTGGAAGTACTGTTCCAGGCGGTAATATTTGGTACCTTCTGTTCCTGTTGCTTTCTCGAGCTCTGCCATGCATGCTTCTTTCTGATAGACTTCCAGATTAGGCCATCCATGTTTGTGATATATGGACTGTAAAAACTCTGCGAAACCTTCAGGGATTCGGTCGTGGTCAGTGTATCGCTTCGTCCAGATTTGAACGACGCGATTACTGCTATGTGGGATGAAGTTCAGCTTGATATAGTGGTTCTTCAACATGGCGAAGAAGTGGCGGACCGGCCAGCAGGGTCCCCACTCCACGTCCATCGCGTCATCGTCATCATCATCGTCGTCCTCGAAATCAACAGACCCATCGTTCTCGTCGTCACTACCGTCGTCGGATGTCGGAGGCGTTTCGTTTTCGCTGTTGTCGTCTGAAGCTTCGACATCATCCTCTTCCTCCTGTAAAACAACGACGCTTTTATCTGGTTCCTCCTTTACTTCCCCCTCCAAAGGATACACCAGACGTGATGGCTGAGGATCGCACGCCTTGATAATCTCCTCCGGGCAGTCCATCCAATATACCAGCCCAGTTCTGACGTCCAACAGCATCACATATTCGCTGATGTTGAGAGCATACGTAAGACCGATGCAGTATTTGGGAATTATGCCGCCGAATTGGTCTTCATGGCTCTCCGTCTCGATTAGTAGATCTTCTCTCTCTGCGTCCTCCTGCTCCTTCAGCTCGTCCACTGCCTTCGTCCAGGCGTGGAACCGGGTGCCTGGCAAACAGTGTGGCCGTGCTTTGTAAGGCTGGTGATCAGGAAATGGCAGATGGCGTAGTAGATTGATGATTTCTGGATCCTTGCCTAGACGATCCGCGACTTCGGGAGTCATGTTGGGCCAACCGCCGGGAGGTGGGTAGATGATGGACGAGGGCACGTCCATGAACATCTTTCCCAAGAAGTCGTAGAAGTCGCGGACCGCAGCGATACACTCATCGCGTGAGTAGATTGGCTCCATCGCGGCGGATGAGTTTCGGGTGATAGTCGTTGAGTTAGTTGACAAGAGAGGGCTGACAATCATCTGCATTCAGCCGTGCCGCCATTTATGCGGTTGCCAAGCGAATTAACCCATCATAGGCGGACGTAAGCCCCACGAAATTAACGCACCAGCCAGTACCCGTTCTAGAACCTGACAGTTGTCTTGATTTGGCATGACCGAGGATGCGTATTTCAAATCGCCTAGCCACTATACAAGTTCGACGGACCAGGCCGCTCATGAAGCATTCGGCTGTTCGCCATCTTGCATTGTTCGTTACGCCTGCTTCAATAAAGCTTGTTCAAGCTCCGCCATATGTGATCATTGCGCAGAAGTAATGAATTCCACACCCAGATACGGAACCACATTGTCATCGAATGGTATTGCGCACAACACTCAAGAAAAGGAAGCGAGTTCTGAAGGTTTTGCGCGTACTGAAAGCTTCACCATCACAGTAATACACTACGCCTTTCCTATCTTAAGTAGCATCCTCAGCCGACTGCTCAATAGCCTGTCGCCAGACAGTACGCATATCCACTCCACAGCCCGCCACAATTTTTGCCAACGGAAGGGTTCAGTGAATAAAAGTCATCCAGAGCAATTCCTCCCGCCTTCGCCATGTCGGCGCAAAACACTCCAGTCTTCTGCAACACCCATTTCACGCAGTTGTAGGGCACGCCTTCCTGGATAGGACCAGGAGCAGCAGGCCAGACACCAGGACAGTCATACTGCCCTTTGGAGGGGTTCCAACGGCAAGGCTTTGGAGGACCAGTTGGTGTTGGAATAGCTGGTGCTTGAACTGTGGTAGTGGTCACCGAAGGTGGAGCTGTCGGTGTGCCAGGCACACCAACACAGACAAAGTAACCTGGCCAGAGAGCGCCGCAGCCTATGATGGGTCAGTATGGCTTGATGTGGCTATACAGAAGATTGGCTTACCTGTGCCGACCGCAGGATTCCACTGGTAGCTTTTCGTTCAGAGTCAGAAGGCGCATGTAGATGAAATTTCTATTGTTGACCTACAATTGAGCTAAAGTGAAGGTTTTGTAGGCATCGATAATCTTCTGACAGTTATCGCCGCCGCTGACCAAGTACCATTTTTGGCCTGAGCAGTCATTTCGTCAGCACCGATGTATGGAAGACTTGTCCAGATTTGTCAGACTCACAGTTCGCAGCAATCCCTTCTTGTACGGGAGATGGAGCAGCAGGCCCACCGGGAGGAGCGACGCTGGTGGTCGTCATCAAGGTGGTACTCGAAGGTTTTGTAATAACAGGGGCTGATGTGGGCACAGGAGCTGGTGTGGCCGAGGGGGCTGAGGTGACCGCGGGGGCTGATGGTAATGCGCCCTCCCATTCAATGCAGTACTCCTTGCCTGGCTCAAGCTTTGCGCAGTCGACCCCAGGGTTCATGGTCTGAAAGATCCCTGCGGCCAGGGCCCAGTCGCGCGACATGGTGGCGCAGGTATCACCATCGATGGCTGGCCACGTGAAGGTGCATGCTCGACGGTGAAGACGGCGAGCATCAGCAACTGAGGATGCGAGTGCTAGAGCATGCAAGAGAACGAATGAGAACAAGGGTCCCAGCATCTTCAATGAAGTATAGAGATAGCGCGAACAGATGAGCCTAGAGTAACAGAAGCTGGACAGCACCCCGAGATCGTGCAGATCAGCTTGGGATTTATAACAACTGGAGAGCAGTAAGAAGCGCAGCCAGCATTATAAATCCTTTGGCTCTTGTAATTCGATGGTCTTACGATGCTTGCTGTTCTCCAACGTCGACGCTAGCTCACGAAAGACGCGAGAGCTTTTACGAGCCACCCCAAATTCTTCCGGCGGTCCAGATCCAAAACCTCAATGCTAAAGATCTGTGCGATCCTCCATGTGAATGACATCCCATATATTGGTGGCGCTCTATCGCGTCGACAGATTATTTTCGGTCGTGTCTTCAATATCGGCAGTCACAGCTGAAGATGTACTAGACAACTAACAATGCTCGAAGCTGGCGATAGTCCGCATCGAGTAGTCAGGTCAGGCCAACATTTATCCTGCATGCAAGAGCCATGCAAAACGGGAAAACGAAGTCTCAATGCCGCCGGTGAAATGTGTTGTTGCTTAATCTTTCCAGACGTAACGGGAAGGTGGGGTGTAATCGTCTGCAGCTCATTTGCGTAGATTGTGAAATACTGTGCTCTTTCGCCGGGGCGTTGACGGTCCTACTCAGGTAGATGTCGCGGATGTCGTTAGGCGATGTTGGCTTTGGCTCCGCCTTGCGGGTCTTACCGAAGCCTTGCCAAGACGCTTTTTGCCTAACGAGCTCAGGAGTAATCGATGATTGGTGTGAAAAGCATCAGGCGTGCTGCCAAGTCGGAGCTAGGTACTTGAAATGATCAAGACAGAACACAAACTAATATCGGCGCTTCGCAGCGAAGATCTTGATTTGCATCCTGCGAATACCTATTACACGAACTGGCTACCATCCTCAGGTGTGCATGATTGAAGAAAGCTCTTGCTTGCGGTGCCCTGCTGCCGATCCAGAAATCTCCTGGCAACACCATACAATAGCTGGTGTTCTATCGAGATTCCCAACATCCCCGAACGTGGACCGGGTTGCGCAATCAATAACCTGGTTATATCGCTCACACTCTCCACTCCGGCGCCTAAGTGTTCAGACATCCCTCGGTACGGCACGGCACGCATGCTGAACGCCCACTTGATATGCATGAAGTTTATCATAGCCTTAGACCAAGCCACAATGCTGTCATAGCCGCGTCAAGCACCCTGTCGATTTCTTCTACCTACACCAATAGCTACGCGTCTATACGTCCCACTTTCAGCCGTGTCCCTTAAAGGAATGGTCTAGACACCCAATGCCGAGATCTCCTGGAGTGAGGTACAGTACCGGCTGACACATGTCAAACCTTCTCACTGTCGCATGCAGCGAGAGCTAAGGTTCCGTTGAGATAAATCTCGGCACCAGGAAATCGGTCTTTTGTCTGCTTCCAGGTATTCGGACAATCATACTGCAGTTCGGCCAGTCTGGAGCTGTGCGCATACGACCAAGACGATGCCACACTACGGTACGATTCATAGGCCGGCAAATATGCACTAGGAATGGCGGTAGAGACTCTGAAAGACAATAGTCAGTAATGTTCTCGTCGTGTTGAGAGCTAGAGTTTTCGCCATCGTTTAAAGGTATTTACTTACTGTAAAACGTCAGCAAAGTCAACAAATGATCATCGAGATTGTGAGGTAGGAATTGCGCGTGTCACTGCCAGATGAGGATGTCTCATGCAAGGGGAAACGTACCGCGCACCAGCTTGCTGTTGCCATCGATGCGCACGCTGGGAACGATGTGAACGGCTTTGGTAGCTTGTCTTCGCACTCCTGGTAGATTTTGTCGGAATGATCGTAATAGATGTCAAGCAAGCGACCGGTCGGCATTGGTGGGTGAAGATAGTCGGACATATTGTGCGTTATGCAGTCCCACGAATCTGGCTCTGGTGTATGTGAAGCCATAGACTCCGTTGCAATCGAAGCAGGACTAGCACTAGTTGAGATCGTAGAGACTCCCACGGAACTTGTGAGCTGGGCCACCGCAGTGACTGCAGCGGCAAGAAACAAAAGGTAGGCTTGATCACGCATTGTGCTCAGATACCGAATAGTGAGGGAAAAGATGATGAACTTCGATGAGGGCCTGAGACGGCATGCACAAGATGCGATGGAGAAATCAATATGTAGATAGTCCCCTATGTATCGCCAGTGGCACCCAAAGTAATTTCGTTATTCTGCTAGATCTGTACCCGCTACCGAGCTTCTTGGAGACTATCAAGATGCGGCTAGGTTGAGGGCGGTGCGATAGTTTTGCGCAGCCAAGAAGCCCAGACGTGGCAGTGTTCAAGGGTATTAACCCTGCTCGGTACTATGCAAGTACCCAAGCCGCCTTCGAATCCTTCAACAATCCTGAAAGAATGAAAGCTTGGGTCTAGACGTGAGAGAGAATGACTGAGTAGAGTGACGATACCAATTTGAAAGCAGAATGATTGATTATCGCAAGCTGCTGATAGACGTGTGGGCGGCTATCCCGTACGTTGAGCGAATTGACTTTGGCGACCAACGCTGTCTAGAGGCACGGTTTCATCGTTCAGCTTCCTGTTTGAGCCACTTTACAGCCAGGTCTCCGAATCATAGTCCTAATCCTAGCATTCTGCCTATGCGGCATCTTGTCTCGGATGAATGATGTTGAAGTGTGGGTCAAGGTCGATCACGCCTGAATTTCATAGCAAAGGCTCAAGGCATGTCCCGCGTCACAGTCTGTAGCAATTCAATCGAACCAGTCTGGCAAAACAATCTCTATTCTATTCAGCAAACCTCTGGCAAACATGCGACAAGCAATTTTGCTCTCAGTCCTACTGGGAGGCAGATTCGTTCGATCAGCCATCGACATTGACGGCAATCAGGTCGTTGATCCGATTGCAGAAGACGACCCGTCGCCCATATCGGACATCAACACTTATTATCCACAACAACATGACTGTCCACTCCCATGTACGGATTACGCAAACATTCACAGCTGGGTCACCTACTTCTCTGTAGATCGTCTTCGTCGCTGCTTAAAGCCCATGTGAGATGCACGCATTTTCAGGAACATTTGTGGAGAGAAACTGATCTCGACAGGCTGCTGCAATTGTCCGTCTCACAATCTTTGAATGATTCGGACGCCACCACCCTCATCCGCAGCTGCACCCTCGGTGAGGGCGGAATCTCCGTGCCTGAGAATTTGGCTACCGTGGAAAACCCAAAGACGACGAATGCCCTTGCTATCTCCAAGCGGGAGACCGAAGCGACTTGCGTAGCTTCTGGCGTTGAGACATCACACAAAGTGCAACTTTTTGCCAGTGGTACCGAGCAAGAACAAGAAGACAATGGCCGTGCGTCCACTCTGATCAAGGGCATGCAAGACTTCTTCAGCACACGCGAGAACTGTGATGAACAATTTGTGTTCGGCTACTACAATGAAACAGTCGCAGGAGTCTACATTGGCGATGGCCTTGGGAAAGACACTATTCAGTCTTCTTTGACGAGTCTTACCGACCGTTACGCACCTGGAACATTCCCGGGTCATGTTGCAGCTCAGGCCTGTCATTCGGACGCAACACATCCTGGTAACATCTTTGGTATTACCATCGAAAACTCTCGCGATCTCGCATCTGTTCAAGAGACTACTATTCAATGGAGTAAAGGTCATTGCTTCTACAAACATGGCGTTTCCTCAACCGGTGACTTGCCTGGCGCCAGAGTCCTACAGATTGCATTGCGAGAGAACAGCACTCTACCCTCGAACGCAACTCATTCTCGCGCTGCACGCCAGCTATCACAGAATTCTACTTTTGGAACTCAATCATTCTATGGACGATACCCAACCCGACTGGACAAGCGTGCGACCTGTAGCTACATAACGGTTGCAGCTGGGGACAACTGCCCAGCCCTTGTCAAGCGATGCGGTATCGCCAACACAGACTTTGTCAAGTACAACCCAAGATCAGGGCTGTGCGCAGCGGGGACCTTGAAGCAGGGCGATTTTGTCTGTTGCTCAGCTGGCGATCTACCTTCAGCCATGCCCGTGGCCCCCATGCCAGGCTCTGATGGGGTTTGTGCGACTCATCTCATCCAGAACGGAGATACATGTACAACACTAGCCACCAAATACGGAGTCACGGTCGACGACATTGAGAAATGGAACAAGAAGAAGACCTGGGCATGGACGAAATGCGAAGACATGCTTCTTGGGTACAACATGTGTGTCTCGGATGGCTTTGCACCCATGCCACCTCCTGCGCAAGGAGTAAGTAACCGATCCAATTTGCACCAAACATTTCCAAGGTTGTGGACTTTTTGGCTAGTTCACATGCTAATGAAAGAGCAGGCCGAATGCGGACCTCTCGTACCCGGTACACCAGCACTGACAGATCGTAGCATATCGCTAGCAGATCTCAATCCTTGTCCGCTCAAGGCGTGTTGTAGCAACTGGGGTTATTGTGGCGTTTTCGAAGGTCACTGTGCTATCCACGCACCACCTGACTCTTCTCCCGGCACCAAATTGAAGGAATTCCAGAACTCATGTGTTTCCAATTGCGACAACGAGATCAAGAAGAATTCGGTAAGTAGTAGGACAAAGCTTTACAGCTTTCCAACTCTAACGTTTCTTTAGGCTGCGCCAACCAAATACGAACGAATTGGCTATTATGAGTCATGGAACATGAATCGCGACTGCCTTTGGCTCAGATCCGAGGACGCAAACACGGACGGAACGTACACGCACATCCACTGGAGTTTCGCCGACATCGATCCTACAACCTTCAAAGTCATAATCAGAGACGAGCACAAACAATGGGACGGGTTTATGAAGCTGAAGAACGTCAAGCGCATCGTCTCCTTTGGTGGTTGGGCTTATTCGACCGAAGAACCAGGCGCCTCTATCCTTCGTAGAGCGATTATCGATAACCGCAACCTCTTCGCCACAAATCTCGCGCAGTTCGCCCAAGACGAAGGTATCGAAGGCATTGATATCGATTGGGAATATCCAGGTGTAAGGCAATCCCCAAGTCACTCTTCGTCTACTGGTCAACTAACGTGATCCAGGCTCCGGATATTGCAGTTGGTGGCTCAATCATCAGCCAGAAGACTGACGGTATTGAGTACCTCAAGTTCCTCACCGTTTTGAAGCAGAAAATGGGAACAAAGCTCGTTTCTATCGCTGCGCCGGCATCCTACTGGTATCTAAAAGCCTTCCCCATCGACCGGATCGCGTCTGTTATCGACTATATTGTTTACATGACGTAAGTGTGATAAAAACGACATTGTTGGAAACACAGCTGACGTGATATCCTTACCGAAGATATGATCTTCATGGCCGTGAGTGCTCTGCATATGCCCAACCGGTGGCACTCTTGTACAGACTTATTGACGAGTACAGAATGGGATTACGGCAACCCCAACTCCTTTGACTCTTGCGACTCTGGCAAGTGCATCAGGAGCCATGGTAAGCCGACAAATCGGTCAAAACCAACAGTGCGGCGTGCTGATTGACCGACCACAGTGAATCTTACAGAAACCGACAATGCCCTCGCCATGAGTAAGATCAAACACCACCATAGGAAGATGTTAGACTGATTTGAACTGCTAGTTACCAAAGCTGGTGTACCCAACAACAAGATTTTTGTGGGCGAATCTAGCTATGGAAGATCATTCCGCATGGCAAAGCCTGGATGCTGGAGCTCAATGTGTGAGTTTACCGGGACACGGACTCTCTCCGACGCAACTCCAGGCCGATGCACCAACACCAGTGGCTATCTCGCGCAAGCAGAGATTAACGAGTTGATGTCACGCGGAGGTGTCAGAAGGCTTTATGACCCGAGCTCAAACACCAATGTGATCATCTGGGACGGTATGTGATCCCCTGTGACTTGAACATATTCCCACGTATCGAGGTTTCTTCGGCTAACACACATATCATTTCCAGGCAATTACGTCTCTTTCTTGGATGAGAGTTCCAAACTATCTCGACGAGAACGCTGGAGAAATCTCAACTTTGCTGGTACCATCGACTGGGCTGTCGACTTGCAGGCGTTCTCGAATGCCGACATGGAGATTCCCGAGCGACCTTCATCTGGACAAGGTTGTGTATCAGGGTTAGATCTTACCCTCAACACTTGGGATTTGTGCGAGTTCACTTGCACGTACGGGTTCTGCCCTGAGACACTATGTGAATGTAGAGCGCAAGGCGACTTGTTACCCCTGCCTCGTGATCAGGGCGAGGCTGACATCGAAGCCTGGAGTCCTGCAGATGTCGACATCACTCGGCTTTGCAAGTTTGCTTGCAAGTATGGCTACTGCCCGGACGATGTTTGCCCCGCTGTCGTCAATGACGACGAAGTAGACGATAGCGGTGCCATCATCGAACAAACAGAGAGCACCAGTCCGACTAAGCGCGACGTATACGCCAAAGCATGCACAGTATGGAAGGGCTTGTCACCATACGATAACAGTGTTGCAGAATGCAAGAAGGTCTGCCAACCGTGAGTCTCTTCTTAGCAACTGCTGAAAGCCTATGCTAATTACCTTATTCAATTTGACAGGCAGCTTGATGCGGCTGCAGCGGCTGGGAGAACCTCAAACTACGGTTGTCAAGCTAACGTTGATGTCGGTACTGGCGGCATCACATGGAATAGGGTACCCAATGGGTACATTACCACGGGCACATGCCTTTGTGACAACTGGTTGATGAACGAGATAGCGGATACAGTGCTTGAAGCAATGCCTATGATCGCACAGGTTGGTATCCCCTCTTCCCTCAATATAGCCTTCGGTGATACTGATCAAAGCTACACAGATAAGCTGCTACGTACTTATGTCTTCTTTGAAGTTTGTACTCGATGTTGGAGCTCAGTTTGTTCCTGTCGTTGGACAAGCCTTGGACATTGGTCTAGATATGGCTACAACAGCCGCTCAAATGGCTGCATATCTGTACCCCGAAGAAGAAGATCCCGAAGGCGCGTTTTCGTGGTGGTTATCGCCCTGTGGAGGAACCGATCTGGTTCCTGAGGACATCAAGACATTGTTCGACACACTCAGCACAGTGGCTGATGGGGTCTCAAGTTTTAAGAAGCCAAAGAATCTGAACAAGGGCAGCGGTAAGAAAGGCGACGACGGGGTAGGTAAACCAAATATCTAACGCATACACATCGAAAACTGACATATCTCGCAGAACCCCCCGGAAAGTGACAGGACGAAGCCCAGATCTACAAACAACCAACCCACGCAAGCCAGATGTGTTATCAGGCCTAATCAGGACTCGAAAGCATGGGGCAAAGGCCACGTTTGGCAGAAGCAAGAGTGCAAAAACGGTCAGACTCACATAACGCAATACGTCGTTAGTAAGTACGCTGATCTATCTCGGAGTTGAATTGTTGCTGATCGATGTTTTCTTTCTCGCTCCAGCTTCTCTCGTGTATGCCAAAAACGCTCCGACAACCACGATTTCAAAAGAGTGCAGCAAGTCTTGGGAACAGGCTTGCTACCACTACAGCTCGGCTATAGATGTGAACCCAGCCTGGGCTACGCAACCTTGCCATGCTCAAGCTGCATCCACTGCTTGGAGAGGTAAGTCTCCATATGCTTCTCATACGTTCTTTTGCTGACTGAAGTGCTCTTTGACAGCTGAAGACAAAGACCTGGTCGCAACTTCTACCTGGTCTGCCGAGCACAGGGGGGACGGCTGGACACACAGCACATATCGACTTGAACAGGACTGCCACAGGGACGAATATCCTCCAGCGTAAGTACATCCAGACATCTGGTACACTCAGGTCTTCAGGAAGGGAAGCTTATCGTTTCAATTAGGTATTTTATGTACCCTGGCAACCCCATTATGGTCAACGGAGGCAAACAGCCGGATGGTCAGCTTATGAGATGGCTCAGAGGTACTATGGCACCCTCCTCCTCACAAGCTCTACTAACTTTTCTTAAGGCAAGTGGAACGTCCAAGCAGCGAACATGTGGAAAGGCGTATGTTTCTTGCCCCCGTTGCGAGACTGGACCGAAAAGGACTACCTGGATGCGGAGAAAAAAGACCTTGCCAAACTGCAGGTACTCTCATCCAAGTCGTTGGGCAGAAACAACCACATCACGAGGCACTATACCACTATCCAATTTTCCGGCACCGCCCAGAAGATTCCCGAATTTACTGTCACCAAGTGGCCGACGCCACCAGCGGGCTCAGAAAAGGGGCTCTTGACAAACCAATGCTGGCCAAAGGACATCGCGCCTCTCGATCCTGGCTTTGTGCTCCTGGCAGTGGATCCGTACTACGTCGGCAAAGCTATACCTTACAAGTATGACCAGGAAATGGTCAAAGGGAGCAACGGTGGCCCTTAGATAGCGTTCCGCATGCTACTGTAATCTGCAACAGTTGGCTCGTATTATGAGACTAGCTAGGCAAATATAATCTAGATTACGGTATACTTCGAGAACATAGTATCGTTGTTCAACCTGCTTGCTTCATACGAAGGCCTTGGTTCTAGCAATACAGCCTAAATTTTGGAAGAGCAGAGAAAGGCAGGAAGAAAGAACGAAGCCTGCTACTTTTATATGTTGCCGTGAGGTTTTCACAGCACCATGTCTTATTTAGATAGTTTTGAGACAGCAAAAGCACAACGCTTGACGCATGACGAAAAGGATTCAAACTTTGGTTTGAAGCGGACAGGGAAGGCACCGTTCTGGAGTCGGAAGCAGAGGCGCAAAGACGCACATGGCCCAACCTGCGGAAAGCTTTGGAAAAACACATGGATCTCCCCGGGTATATTTTTGGAAGTAAAGCCCCAGCGAAGGTAGTTGGAAGGAGGAAGCTCCAGACCAACAGCCGTAGATTTTACACCATCGCTAGGCTCAGGAACTCGAGCCAGACAGCATGAAATGCTGGTGCGGTAGTTTCTGACGAAAGGACGGCAAACACATGGCATCCTTTTACGTATCTTTCTGGCCAGAAGGACGAACATGCTGGGTTCGGTTGCCCGTTTCGAGAAGACGAGCAAAGCCAACATGCATCTTACTAACGTCTTTTTAGAACGCACCCAGAACAAAGGCATGGGTAAAAGCCGGCACAGTTCTGTGACATAGCCGGGGTATATCTTCATTTCGGGAAAGGAGGAACAGGCCATTGCAAACAGCATTCAAAGTTTTGGTAACTCTCAGCAGGCAACTCGACAAGACATAAAGCGAATCGGTATATTTTTGGAGTTTCGCTGCACAAGTGCAGCCATGAACATATCTTCCAGGTTATTTTGGACTTTTCGAGGAATGGACCGACACAGTCATAGGAAGCTCTCGCGTTGGGTTTGAATCGAAAGGAAGGCGCGGCCAGCAGCGCACACATGTAGAACTCTTGTTTTCGTTTTGAGAGCAGAGTCATGCCCTGCCAATGGTGTCTTTTTGGGAGAAGAAGAGTTTTTGGTAGTTGTTGAAAGAAGTGAGGCAAGATGCGAGACAAAGAGCGATTTATATAGGGCAAAGCCGCTAACGCGCGGTCCCAACATGCCACAAAAACGAAGGATATACGGAGCGATGATAGTGATGACGAAGTAATGATGATGGTCATTATCATAGGATATCTTCCAATCTACGTACCCAATTGCGAAGTCGCAGCTCATAGCTCATCTCTCTTTCTCCTTTGTCCACTGCCCTCCTGTGCTGGTGTCTCCTGCGCCTGCGCCTCATCACGCTTCGCACTCTCCACATCTTCCTCCCACATCTTCTTCTTTGGATTCCTCGGCTTATCGCTCTCTTGCAATACAGTCCCGTCGCCTAGTGTGACCGGTCCCTCGTCTTCATCCTTCCTCGGTTGTCTGAACTGAGGGTGATCAGGCACCTCCTCCTGCTGCTGTTGCTGTTGGTTTTGTTCCGCCATCTTGCCTACTTGCTGCGAGTATGAGCCTTGTGGACTAGGATCCTGACCTTGTCCAAGCTTGTATGTACAAAGTGCATGTATCAATTCTAACTATCTACATCTGTTTTTTTGACTCTCTAAAAGGTTGGACAAGGTATCTTCGAATGTTGCGGCCGAGCGTGACTACTGGCGGATTATCATCTAGCAACTTTGTAATATGTAGAGAGTCTTGGAGATAGGTGATAGCTTCAACATAGTATCCACCAGAAGCTGTCATCTTGTCGGAGAGGAAGTTTGGAGAGAGAATGTTATGCAGGTAGAAGACGCAACCCTCGCCGAAGTTCTCCACAAGAATGTTAATTTTGGCTCCGAACTTGCACCAAGCATGCAACTCATCTGCCACCTCTTCTATAGCGAGCTTTTGCATGTCTGAGCTGCTAGCGTACACAGGTTTGATGAGTTCCAGAAGGTGAACCTTCATAAGATGGCCGATCCGGTTGCCGGTACAGTCGGGACGTGCAAGCTTAACGAGATCGTGCCACATGAGCATAAGGAAGAGCCATCGAATGCTGTTAAGACCAAGCTGACGAGAGACGGTCTTGGTGTATTGGTACTGAATGATCATTGCCTCACCGGTCGAGTCTTTGCTGTAGTTTTGGACGTTGTTGACAAGTTCTTTGGAGTAGAAGAATGACTGAGCGTCAGTCTTGTTGGTGTCGAGGTGGGCTTGGACGACGGGTGAAAGCGCTAGCTCTTGGAGGCGCAGGATAGTGACGAAGGGGCTCTTTGCGTTCTTCTTGCCGCCGCCACCTACTCCCTTGTCTCTGGCCGTCTGGCTTGAACTACCATCGCTAGCTTTGCTCTTCTTCCGGGGAAGTTCGCTGATATCGGGGATAAAGGCAGATGCAACCCCCGTTAACACCTTCTTGCAGTCAGGGGGAAGAGACTGGGCAGGGTTCTCCTGCAAAGCCATGATGAACTACAGCGTTAGTATAATGCTGCGTACGATCGCAGTATCTCAACTCCATACCTCGTTATCCCGTAACATTGTCTGAAACCTTTCTAAGGCTTCCAGCCGGTCAGTTGCCATATTGTAAGAAGTAGGTACTCGGAGAGGATAGTCGTTGATAACAGATGTGTGCATACTGGTAAAATAGAAGCAGACCGCCTGGAACGGCAGCTATGTACTCCGCAATAACGTTACAATAATTGTCTAACACGGATATAATACATGTACTAAGACGTCTCGGTCATGTGTTGCATTGTCTTCATCTGAGACAATCGGGGGAGTGTCTTCCTATATGGTTCACCTAATTCAGCTTGACCGCTTACATATATAAGTCTGAAGACTGCGTTCCTGCATACCACAAGCCATTCTGATCTCATCAAAACTTGGAAACTTTTTGTCTGCGCCATCATTGCAACAACAATAGAAAGCGACACCAACGCCTCAACCTCGAAACTATGAGCGCTCCACCTACATCACCCGATCCCCACGACCACCCTCCACAGGATATATCGGAATCATCCTCGACAGCGGTTGAAGTCGGCAACGTGCCACTCGATCTCGAAACGATGAGTTCGCCATCAACACCCGATCCCAACGACCAACCCCACCAGGGCACATCTGAACCGTCCCCCAATACTGTCGCGACCGGTAATGGCGATTCAGGCCAAGAACCTACTAGCAGCGTAGAGTCCTGGCAGGAGATACGCGATCGCATACTTCAACGCTACAGCGACCCTCTTGTCAATCCCTTGAATACTGAAGCTTACGGTGGCGTGGTCCGGTCGATTCTCGGAGAAGCACTAGGTTATGCCGTAGTCTATTTGGCAGCACCGTGGGTTTTTGATGAACTTGTATGTGGCTTGGTCGAGGTGTGTGGCGAAAGGCTTTCTCTTCGCACAATTGCCTGGGTCAAGTTTCTCCGGTACTGGTTGCCGTATCTCATCAAAGCCAAATGTTTGTTCGGTTTCATTCGAAGGCTCTTCCGCGGGTAGGTTTCTGTTATCCCTAGCTGCTACGTAGCCTATGCAATCTAAAAATGTCTTGCTGATGTTGTGCTAGAACTCCTGACTTCCTCGTAATGCCTCTGCATCATGCTTTCGTCACAATGGGTGCGCCTTGCGCCCAGCAAGCACACTCATCTACCGTACGTCGAGGAGAACATGTGTCGCTTGGTCAGTCCTCTTCGGTCGTCGACACAACAAGACAAGAACAACCCGCGCCTATCGAGGTCGAAGTCTCCATGGTACAAACGCGCGACCCCCATACTGCGGATTCGGCACTGCGGCTAGCATCACTCACAGACGTGTCAGAGTATGATGTGGATGAGCCGCCCTTTCTGGCTGCGAGATACCATGAACGCCAGACTTCAGGCGGAGTGTCTGAGACAAGGCTTATTGAAGCAACTCATGACTTGGAGGATGCTATTCCGGTTCCCTTCAATGAGTGCATGAATGGCGACCCTGATGTTGCCGACACCATTATATCTCCTGAAGCTGAACAGCGGTTTTCTTCAACGCCTACCCCTGTAGCACTACCCATCACCGTTGAGACGTGCTGGGCTGAGCAAGAATGGTTAGTGCTCTGTGTGCCGCGGGTGACCAACATTCTCTCCACGGCTTCTGATACCCCCGGAAAGGTATTCGACAAGTCACAGAAGCTCGTCACTGCGTCGCAACGCGCTCTGGAGATCTACGAGCTATTTCCTCATGAAGCAAAGAAAGAGGAAGAGGGAGAGCACAGAAACTCGCCAGACCGCTTGCTCACACAGTATGAGTTCCCTCACGTCTTCAGTGCGCAGACGATGAATCTCGACATCTGCCTGTTTATGCAGAAGGCAATCGAGCTTGTTGCAGTTCGCGGAGGCAGATTTGTCATTTTAGCCGATGGCTATTCCGGCACCGGGAAATCCTACACACTCTTCGAGACACGTGACTGCATTGCTCAATGGGCTGGGGACTTACTCTTTCATCAGCTACATCTAGGCCAAGTCTTCTTCGCAGCGACGGAGATAGTACACAGTATTCAGGACGGCGTCGTCAACAAATCGGTAACTTTTCCACCAGCCAAGCTCCGCTCCATTAGCAGCACAAGGCAGGAGTTGTCAGCTTTCAAGAACCGGGTAGTAGCCTACTCGGCTACTTCAGCAGAACATCTTCAAGCTCTTGTAGATTGGACTGTTGCCAGTCGGCAGACATTGCCCACTGCGGTCAACAAGAACTCCTCACGAAGTCACTTGATCTGTCAGATCCTCATCCCAAGGGGAGCCGGCTTTGCGATGCTCACACTGGCGGATCTTGCTGGCGCTGAGGATTCAAGTGTTACCGATCATGGAAGCGTCAGCCAGCTTATCAACCAGGAGCGATCAAAGTTTAATGTCCAGTTGCTTGCCTACGCAAGAGATCCTGCTACGACCGTGTTCCGCACTGGCGAACTCGCGAAAGCTATGCGCACAATGTTCTCTCAACGTGCGCCACTTGATCGCCCAGCTATATTGTACATACCGCACTTGAACCAAGCGCAAAGCACAAAGAGTTGCTCGCGACCGCGTCTTGACATGGCAAGAGACCTCATGAGCGCTCAGACCGCGAGCGAGCCGAGTAAGCCCTGCGAGAGAGCTTGAAGCACCAAGGCTGTGGGTGAAGAGGGGTTCGAACGGCGTTTCGCAGCTGGAGGTAGAGCGGGCTCTCCTTGCAACAGATCTCACGGTCGAATCGCTGTAACAAAAAAAGTGTAGATAGAGTTTTAGATAGCATATACGAGTTGACACAAGACGCAGCAAGCTCAATACTAACGTAACTTTAAGGGCAACCAAAGAGGTAGCCAAATCATTTACCATACTCTATCCGACGAATGCTCCAACAGTGCTAGACATCTACCTAGTGATGGTCTCACCATCATGCCACTGTCTGCGATGGGCCTTGGAGCAGAACCATCTCTCCGTGCTGCGCTCTGGCGTCATGATCCTCCGGCGGCTGCATTTCGTACCATCGCTGGTGATGCCTGGGCAGTGCTGGAAAGCGCTGAGTTTCTTGGCAATGTCTCCCGCCGTCTCCGTCGCCGGCTCAGCATCGTTGCCGCGACTGGGCTCACTGATATCTTCCACGGGAGTAGCTTGAGAAGCCCGGAAGATTCGATCGTTGGCGAGTGTCGCGGTGGCGCTGTTATGAGTTTCTGGAAGCACGAACTCAGCAGATATTGCGGTTTCGTCAAGCTCGGTCGCTGTGAGTTCCTGCACGGGGGTTACCGTGGACACTTTGACGGGATCGGACGGGACCAAGTCAACCGCGTCCTCTAAAGTGGCAGATGCTATCAACAACGGTCCTCTTGTGGCTGAGTTGTTGTCATCGGTGATTCTGTCCACGGCTCGCAACCTCTCGTTGACTAAGAGCTGGTCATAGCCAGGACCAAAGACCCGGAGCTTGATGTAACATGGGAGCAAATCCATCTGCATCCACATGACTTCTTGGGCGAGAAAGAAGTCGCGGACGACGCTCGACGCTGTCCCGCTAGCCATGACACAGGTTTTGGCCAAGTTTGTGACGAGTATCTTTGTGCCTCTCGAAGCAGCAAGTCGTTCCGCACGCTCCAGTACCGCTGCCAGAACGTCCTCGCTAAGATTTAGGCTGTTCGAAAAAGCCAGGGCAACATCCTGGGTGCGGGATGTATTGCGAAAGTACCACACTACACCGTATACGGTGACCGCTCTCAACCAATGTGGGTAAATAGTAGACATTAGTGTGTCGTTGGGAACGAGAATCAGATTTCTGTAGAGACACAAGTTATATTAGCAGCGCTTCCGGGGAAAAATGCCCCAAAGTGGTGTACTTACGTTTAACAATGGGTTTTGTTTAACAGTAGTCGCTGATGCTTGATTTCAGCCAGATACTCCGACTTCTTAAGTCATGACCGCAGGGTTTGCTCCTCGCATATAGAAGATGCTGGTATTGCAAAGCAATCCACTTGGCCGACAATGGGTCGCGAGTCATCCAAGTAGACTAGAACGATCCATTCTGGCAATGAGAGTGCTACGTGGGCCTTGGCTCTCAACTCTGCATCTGGGTATGTTGCGGAGTTGATAAACAAGCTTGTGTTTCGGAGGCCGTAAACTGGCTCAAAGTGTCGCTGCAGTCGTATAGCACTCGCATCGAATTTGCAGTCGCGTCGCGCCCTGCCTGTGGCCAGTATATTAGGGGTTCCGCTGCACTGCCGCGCAAGATACCCAGCGCTTGTATGCTGAGCCCCAGGCGTGTGTCGGTTGCGGCCGCGGTCCTCAGTCTTTGCCTTGCGCTTGTGGGGTGTTGTTGTTGTCGTCAGCCTTGGGATTGGGCTTGAGCGCTGTGCGATGTTTCGAATGTACTGCGCTGAACCATTAGCATGTTGAAGAAAAGAGGAAGAAAAGAGGAAGAAAAGGCCTAGATCCAGCGCCCGCTCCTAGCTGCTGGGGACTATATAGTCCTGCTGCCCGCTGTTTCAAACCGCGGTTTGAAACAGCGGGCAGCAGGAC